CTTGAAAGCTCCACCTCCGTTGCCCTTTCTGTTATCTACACGTGTTCTGTTGTACATAGGGTTTTCAGAGGTTTGCTGTTTCGGAAGTGGATGGCCAATCCTTCTTCCTAGTTTGTCCAGTCATATTTTGGACATGTTAGGAGAGGCTATTCCTTAGAAAAGGACGTCATACTTGCAAAGGTGGAGGGTCAGAAAAGGTGAGGAAGACCCTCAATGAGGTGGATTGATAGTTTCTGTGGTAATGAACTTAAATGTGTTGAGAATGATAGCGAGTCTCCTAAACAGAGTTCTAGTGGCCTAGTGGTAAGGAGCTACATTGCCAACCCAAAGGTACATGGTTTGAATCCAACTTCTTCAAGAGAGAAAGATGAGCAATCTCCTCCCATTTGATTTACTGCTTCTCAAAATCTGCTAGAAGATCAGCTATGCTACTCAATGGCACATAACAACAGCCTCCTAACCTATTAGAGAATAATGTTTTTTATTTTCATTTTTTTAATAATTGTGCTATCTCTGTTAGAGCAGAACTAGATAACTAAAACAGTTTCCACTATCCTTCTTACTCAACTTATTGCCATGGAGTCACAGCTAGCCCTCCATTAGGCTTCCAAGGCCATAGATGACGCGGGAAATTGCCCGTCTTTCTCCGTGAAGCCCAGGGTGGATTAAAACTGCCAGAGAGGTGTGACCTTTGAGTTAGTAATCGAACTCCTTATGGCATACACCACACAGATGTGCTTTAAAAACAGGTAAATTTTTTCATTTTGTGCCCTTGAATGGGAGAAATATATTGTTTTCTCTGCCACAGAAAGTTTTGGCAACTTTCTTGATTGAGTAATGTACAAGGATGCAATACAATGTTTCCAATTCACATCACAGTACATAGAATTCAAGGAGTTTTGAGAGGTTTCACAGTACACTCTTTAAACTCTATGTAGTTGATTGTACTAGAAACAATGTACTGTGTCCTAGATGTACTTTGGAAACATGTAGATTCCTTCCCCAAGTTCTATACTTGGATGGAAGAAATTGTAGTTTTCTTATTCACAGAATATAATGGAAAATGCCTTCTCCTTATGTTAGATGGCATGCTCTAAAAATATTCAAAAGTCTTTTGACTTTATGTATTTGATGAGAGAAATAGCAGTTTTCCAATAACAAAATGTACGGGTGTTACACAATGTACTTGTACCGTGTACACTGAGAACCACAGCATTCTCGATTTAATATCCCTGAATGGGAGAAACTGTATATTGTTTCTCCATTAACACAAGGTATTGGGAACATTTCCATCACATACAGCACATTTTTAAAACAGTGGAAAACCAAAACCAAACCCCCACAAATTGTGAATTCATATATTTGAATGATAGAAGCTCCAATGTTTTGATATTTGCACAGTAGACTGGGGTGGAGGAAGGTGAGCCCTAACCATAATCCTACTAACCCTAATGCTGGAACAAGCCTCAGATACCCGTCACAACCTTTAACATTAAAACTTACCCTAACACCTAACCCTTAACTAAGCAGAGAAGATTGATGCAAATAAAAAATGCAATAATACATTAATCCAAAGGACTAATGGAGCCACAGCCTCCACAATCCTGAGACCAGAAGAACTAGATGGTGCCCCACTGCTGGCTACTTCAGAAGGAAATCCTGGACAGGAGGCGGGGGAGGGGGAGGGGGGGAATATAGAACAAAGCTCAAAATTCTAAAAAAGACCAGAGAATTAGAACAAACAATTTGAGCGGCTGGACTATATGAAGAATATGGCATCAGGTAAGATTGGAGGAAGATTCATCAACAGCCCACATCATGCAGCTGACATAACCTTGCTTGCACAAAGTGAAGATCAATTGAAGCATTTGCTATAGAAGATCAGAGACTGCAGTCTTCAATATGGATTATGTCTTAACAGAAAAAAAAATAAACTCTTCACCACTAGATCAATAGGCAGCATTATGATAGAGAAAAGACTAACACTGTCAATGATTTCATTTTGGATTCATAATCAACACATATTATAACAGCATAAAGAAATCTAAAGACATGTTGCACTGGGAAAACCTGTAGAGGTCAAAGACGCTCATAAAGTGCTAAAGAGCACTAGGAAAATCCTGTCAGGGATCTCTCCAGAGTATTGAAAAGCAACAGTGCCAGTCTAGAGACTAAGGTGTGAGACTAAGTCTGTGATACAGGTCACAGACTTTGCAATTATTTGCCATGCATCAGAGCTGGACAATGACTAAGGATAACAGAAGAAGAAATGATGCCCTTGAATTGTGGTGCTGAAGATGAGTCTTGAACATACCATGGACCGCCAAGAAAATACATAGGTCTGTCTTGGAGAGGGTGAAACCAAATTTCTTCTTGGAGGTTAAGATTTTGATGCTTCATCTCACATACTTTGGGCATATGGCCAGGAAAGACTGGCCCTTGGAGAAGGACATCATGCTAGGAAGGGTGGAGGGACAACACAGGAGAGAAAGACCCCCAGATGAGATGGATCGATACAGTAACTGTGACAATGAGGGTAGGTGGATCGGAGTCAGTGAGATTGGCTCAGGACAGGGCAGGCTTCAGAGCTGTTGTACATAGTGTTGCTATGAGGTGCAGGCCACTCGACAGCACATTACAACAACTAACAGGGATGTCAGTTTAAAGACCAAGATGTGCCTGATCTAAGCCATGGTTTTTTCAATGGTGTTTTGAGAAGAGTACTGAATATCTCACGGATTGTCAAAAGAATAAAGGAGTCTATCTTGGAGGAAGTACAACCAGGGTTCTTCTTAGATGCAAGGATGATGAAACTTTGTCTCATATACTTTAGGCATGCTGGAAAAAGAAGCATGATAGGAAAGGTAGAGGGTCAGTGAAGGAGAAAAAGGCCTCAACAAGATGGATTAATCCAGTGAGTGCAACAAGTTCCAGCACATCAGAGCTTGTCAAGGCTGAAATGGAACTCTACCTAGTGACTCAACTCCCAGCCAAGCAATAGACATGCTTCTAAAGTGAGCAATAAACCAGGGAGGTATGCACTCCTTAGAACAATCAACAATAGGAGAACAAATTTGCCAAGTGATAAAACGGAGAAGGTAGGAAGGGAAGAAAAAGTGCTGTTACATTGTGGGTATTGCAAGGAATGTCCTGAAACAAAATCCATATGAATTGTGGAGTGGAAAACTCATTTTCTCTATAAACTCACAATAAGAGAAAAATAAAAAAGGAAACTCTTGTTAGAATCAATGAGACGCAGCACATACTTCGTCCCCATGTGGGTTATGTGAGCTGTTGCATACTGCTGGCAGAGCAGCAGACGGCGGAGCCTCACATCCCTGGTCCCTGTTCATCCTTTATTTCCCAACTTCCAGTATCATGCTTTTGTGAGATGCCCCTGACACCAGCTTCTTAGCCTGGCTAATGGGCTTTCAGTAAGGTTGATGCAAGCAGGCACTTGCTCTTGGGAGTCCTTGAGCCCCATGCAGACATCTAGCTACCCTCCTGAAGAGAGTAGAGATGTTCAGCCAGCTCATAGTAAGTAGTTCCACCCATCTCAGCTGAGACTCAAAACACAAATTCGCTGCTGTCAAGTTGGAATGAACTCATTGTTGCCCTTCCAGCAGATTTTCAGAGGTTATAAATTGCATAGGAGGAGACTGTCCATTATGCTCCCTAAGAGCAGCTTGTAGATTTGAACCAAGTACATTTGGGTTGGTAGCACAACTCCTTACCTACTAGACCACCAGAGCTGGACATATGACCTTATCTTAGATTTCCAATCAAATCAGGCTCCCAGGTGCCTGCAGTTGTCTGAGTGAGCCACTGATGCAAGCCAGTGAGCCCAGTTTAGATCAGATTTCCAGGCAATTTAGTGTTGGCTGTTGTAAAACCCTCAATCTGGGGGCAGAAACACACACACAGACTTCCTGCAGAGTGCTTGCACTCCCATGGTTTGCTGTCCATCAGAGGAACTGAACAGTGGGGGCCTCTGACAGGTCAGTGGGGTTTCTGGGGTTAGTCCTTTGATTAGATTAGGAATGGAGTGGGGAAGGGAGGTGAGCACTGTGGGAGCCCTTTGGCCTCATTTGAGTTTCTCTAGAAATGGATGCTGAAGAAAGGACCTGAGAGCAGGGGAAACATGAAAAGGGAAAGCAGCCCATAAATGGCACATTATCAAGGCACAATCCCTGTGGGCAACTGGAGCCAGCACAGAGCACACACTTCCAGCTCATCCACCACTCACCACCACTGGTTAAGGGCAGCTGGAGTGCGAAGCAGGCACAAACTCCTGGGCACTTGCAGCTTACCACACTCATCTCCCAGGCAGAGCTGATCCAAGTGATCCAAGAATAACTGTGGGCAAAGGATTCAGGTCCTTGGACAGGACACAGACCATAATGCATTGAAAAGGTCAGGTTGAAGGGATATGAAAGTAGAATCCAGCATCTGCTACATATAACCCCTTAGGCATGCATCACGGCCACTACCCCATGCCAACACCCCCATAGAGTAGACGATGGTCTCTCTGGTCTAAATAGAGTTTAATGGAGTTTCAAAGACCTTCAGATTAGAGGGACTCATTGGGAACGCTGAGGTCTGGTACAGAGGCCTAGCCGAGTTCTGAATCAGAAAGCAATGGGACCTTGGGGACTCTAATCACAAAGGGTCATTCTCATGCCTCAGGGTTTAGGACCTTAAGGGTAAGAGTCCTAAGAGTGTTGGGGCCATCATAGGAAACCAAAAGGGGTAGTATTAGGAGCTGTGTGGTGGGATCCCAAGTACCACATGTGCGGATTTCATTCCAGCTTGCAGGTGTGAAACAAGCTGAGTCAGGGAGGAGACCCTGCCAGATCCCAGCAGGGGAAGGGTTAGGGGTCTGAGGTGTTTCACAGAAACAAACAAAGGGCCTCGATTTCACAGAAATCATTAAAGGGGCTCCTTGCGAGTGAAGAATGGGGTGTCACACTACCCCAAATATTGGGGACTGCTCACTCCCAGCAGCCATTCTGGGGTTTTAATGTAAGACCCTGGATGGCTGGACATTCCACAAATGTTATCATGGACCTGCAATATAGGCATACGCTGGCTGTCCCACGGGACGGAGGGGACTGGAAAAATCAGTCCAAGTCTGGGTTCGAGTCCTAAGAGGACAAGGCTGGGGGCGGCGCCACACGGCTCCTCTTCAACAGCTGCCGGAGCTGGGGACAAAGCAAGAAGGTAAGTCTGAGAGTAGGAAAGGGTTGGTGGGTGGGGAGGGGCCAGTGGGTGAGCTCAGTAGGGTTTGAAGGCCAGAGGTCTACAGTCAAGATCTGGAGCCGAGACAGAGAAGGTGTGTGTTCGTGCATTGAATGGGAGCAGGTCAAGGGTCAGAATTAGGGATGTGGGGCTCTCACACTGGGGTTAACACTGCAGGGAGGTCTGGGGATGAAAGCAAGGCATCAGGGATCACATTTGCAGATCTCTGGTCACACCTTGAAGTAATGATTCAGGGTCTTGGTGGAGGTCAGGAGTCATTGTAAGGTCAGATATCAAATGTGAATTCAGGACCCAGTGAAGGTCAAGGTCGTTTTCTGAGATTGAAGTTAACTTGTGAATGAGTAGTGTCAAGGGTCACCCTGTGGGGGGCCTGTGACCAACCCTCTGGGTCAGGGCGGGCTCCCTGCTCAGTGCTCACCCCCTCCAGGCCCGGGCCTGGCCGCAGTAGGTGAACAGGCTGCTCATTCTCCAGGTTGCGCAATGTTGGGTCTGCTCCAGCCGCTAGCAGACGCCGCACAATGACCTCCTGGGAAGGCCCGGGGGGCAGGGCCGCTGCCATGTGGAGGGCTGTGTTCCCATGGGCCTGGACAGTGAAAGACAAGGACTCGGATATGGCTGCGCTGGACTCACAATATCACACACTTTATATGGGGACTGTCACAGCCACGACTCACACTTCCTTTGCATTCACATTCACTCTGCTTCTGGATCTCCACTCTTCACAGACTGTATGTCACCCTCCACACAGCCCGGTCACTGTCCTATGTATCTCTCCTCAAGTTCTGTCCGCATCCCATGTATTTCCGTTCCGTGTCCCCTGGTCCTCTCTGCTGTATCTCACAGAAACTGCCCAGCCTATCCCAGACCCGTACCTTCATGTTGACAAAGGCCCGCAGGTTCCCCCGGGGAAACTCCAGCAGCAGCTGAACCAAGGTGGGGTTGGCAGCCTGTACCGCCAAGTGCAGAACTGTCTTGTTGCTTTTGATCTCCTGGCAAGAACGACAGCAGAGGTCAGCCCCTGCTCACACTAGGGTTCCCTCCTACGGCATCCAGGACCATCAGAGGCCATGGTCCTCCACTGCCAGCACCCCCACCCACGGTACTTTACACAGCATGTCTGTGGTGTCCTGTATAAAAGCAGTGCCACCTAAAGGGTGTCATTTACACAATCGGGATCACAGAACAGTGTGTTAAGAGAATTTTACACCAAGTGTCTTATCATTTCACGTCCCCAAAGGAACCTGCTGGTCTAGCAAGTATGTTGCCCAACCTACACCTTATTACAATAAAGTGAACTCTCATTCCATGTGGAACATATTGTAGCTACAAGAACAACAGTTGAACAGTGTTAATCAATAGGTTAAATAAGCCTCTATCATCCATAAAGTTTACCTTGTCCCTTCAAGTTTTAGAGCAAGCAAAGATACTTTCTCCAACAAAATATTATTTTGTGCCTTTAGAGTTTGGAATGACAATGAAAACTTTAAAACGCCATCCCCTTTTGTCTGTCTAGACAGGGCAAAACAAATCAATTTGCTCACCAAAATGAATTATAAAGAGGCAAAGAAGAAATTGAGAGGGAATCTCTAGATTAAGAATGACTTTAAAAGACACATCATTGCAACAGATGACTTACATTTGCCATCTAAAATTTTTTCTTACACAAAAAAAGAAATCCATCATACTTTAGAGCCTAGCATTAGATACTATGAAATTATTATTAATTTAAAATGGCAGAATTAATAGTGCTGAAATTAAGAATGTTCTTCTATTTAAAAAATACCAACATTAATGGAGAAGGTTCTATACTGGATGAGCCTGTGTGGAACCTATTAGGCTGCTGGGAAAGGTCAGCAGTTTGAATCCCCCAGCTGCTCCGTGGGAGAAAGGACAGTCTGTTGGTTGCCTTCAAGTCGAGCATGACTCATAGCGACCCTATGAACAAAAAGGCCTGAAGTCCCTCTACAGCTATGGACACTTATCAAAGTTCATAGAGTTTCCAGGGGCATGTTGTTTAGGAAGTGGATGCCACTTCTGATTTAGAGCCCTTGAAACTCACTGCAGAATGGCTGTGAATGGAACCAACCTAACAGCAGTGGGGTTTTGGGTTGGGATTTACTTAAATATATTGCTGTTGTGTGCTGTCAACTCATTGCTACAGAAGTGGGCCCGACTCCTAGCTGTCCCTCCAAGGGTTTCCTAGACCGTTAATCCTGTGGAAGAAGATTGTTCATCTTTTTTCCTGCCGAGCAGCCGGTGGATTTAAACCACCAGAGAAGTATGGCCTGTGGGTCAGCAGTACTCATCTCTATAGACTGTGCTACTGGGATGCCTCCTAATATATCAAGTTAGTGTCTAATAAAGAGAAACAATACTTATATCATTTTATATTGATAAATATAAGATATTGATATTATTTTATATTGATGTATCAAGTAAGTGCTTGATAAATATAAGCTAAGATCAATAACGTTATTCACAGCTGACAACTGGAGCACAGGGAAATGAAGTAATGTACTTGAGGCCACAAAGCTGGGAAGAGATAAGGTTAGCATTTGTTTCGAGGCCTGGGAATACATGCTACCTGACCCCAACGGTTCCTGTCTTCTTCTTAGAGCTCAGCTGACCACAATTTAGCTCACCTGGCTGGCATGATCTGCACCCATTTGCAGCAACAACTGGACACAGGTCAGTCGATCTCGGGCCTGAGTACTCAGCACCCGGGGGCACAGGTCTGGTGGGCACATGGCCACATTGAGGGACAGGATGGCTGTGTGGAGTGGGGTGAGGCCTGCAAAACAGAAACAGTAAGATTCTGCTTCTGGAGAACCATCCCATCCTTCCTCGCCTGTCTAATAACCTACTACCTAAACTTACCCTCAAAGTCTCTGGCCTCTAGGTTAACTGGGACCCCTGAGTTAAACACAGCCTGGGAGAGGGAGAATGAAGAGAGATGGATTAGCTCTCCCGGGTACTAGACCTGAAAATCATGGGCAACCAGTCCATTGCACACATCCCACCTGCCAGCCAATCATACCGAGAGGACTCCTGGAAGCCCATAGGTAGCAGCAACATGCAAGACAGAACGTCCCTGATGGTCAGTGGCATTAGGCTCTGCACCCAGGTTCAGCAGATCCGCCACAATCAGAGGCTGGTTGGCAGCAGCAGCCACCAGAAGAGGTGTCTGGAGGCAGAGAAGAGGTTGCTCTGATCTCCATCTCCCACCTTCCTCCCTCAGACCCTACGCTCCCAGTGCCCTCTCCTCCAGGATCCAGTAGTCCAGGTTCCCAGCACTCTCTTCCTCTGAACCTAGGAGGTCCCAGGCCTTGGCCTTCACCTTGCCCTTATGTTCACGGATGTCCAAATGTCTGCAGGCCTGGAGCACTTCAGCTGCTGCATATGCTGCCCAGCGGAGGCCCCGAGCCGCAAGCAGGTGCAGGAGCCTGAGGATGTGTTGGAGGCAGCAATGAGCAGAGCTCCCCTGCCACAGCCCCCAGCCCAGGCAGGAGCCTGTATACCCTCTCCTCTCATACTTACGTGTCTCCCTCCTCATCCTGAGCTAGCAGCTGTTGTGGCCCCAAGGCCAGCATGTGAGCACGGGCTGTGTCCAGCGAGGGTCCCTGGACTATAGGTGGTAACTGCGGCGGCCCTGGGAGGACTTCAGACACTCTCCAGGATTCAGCCTGTGGAGGGGAAGTTTCTGCATAGAGTCGAGTATCCAGAGGGTCCTGGGGGCAGAAGGAGGGGTCTTGTTAGTTGAGATGTCCTCCTTTCCCAATTGCCACTTTCCTACACACATCAAAAATCCAGTGTCCAGGCAGGAGGATACCTAGTGGAGTGTACCATCTTTGCCAAGTGACCTTGGACCTTTGGACCTCAGTTTTTCTCATCTGAGGAATGGGATTATAACCCAGTCCTGAACAGCTCAGAATGCTGCTTGAGAGTATTTATACATTTTATGGACTCTTTAGTATCCTGTCAACACTCCATATCTTACCTCCATCCCCTGCATCCCCTGGGGAAATGTACACAGCTGTCCTGTGTCCAAGGGCGAGTAGAAGTTGGAAATCGGAAAACTTTCAGCAGCAGAAGCCGGGTAGGGGCCGTCTGCATAGGCAGCATGTGTGTTGGGGTCCCAGTCAGGAAGGCCTGTGGCAGGGACCAGACCACCAAGACCAGAATTCACTGTGTCCTGGTGCACTAGGAAGTGACTATGGCCTGCAGGTGAGAGGAAGGACAGGGGAAGGCAATTAGTAGGGCTGGACAAACCAAGGGCCAGAGCTATGAGGCCCGTATGAGGATAATGCCAGATCAAGGGTCTTAGGTAATGGAAAGTCAGACTTTGGGAGCTCTGGGGCGTTAGTTGTACAGAGTTGAACTGTCAACCCAAAGGCAGGCCGTTTGAATCCACAAGCTGCTCAATGAGAGAGATGGGTAATCTCTCAACCTGCTAGAGAGCCAGCTATAAACTGGTTCTAACTCAACTACACCTAACAGTAACAGAAAGCCGGACAGTTTTGGAAAAGGAATTTACCTTCTTAGTTCCCTAGAGAGAAAGCTTTGGTGGCTTAGTGGTAAGGAGCTGTGCTGTCAATCCAAAGGCATGGGGTTTGAATCTACTAGCTGCTTCACAGGAGAGAGATGGGAAATCTCTCTGATTTACTGCCTCTGAAAAACCCGCTGGAGGGTCAGCTAGGAGACAGTTTAGACTCAACCACATATAACGACATAACAAATACCCAAATCAAGGGCTTGGTGCCTTCCAAGATGCTGAGATCTAGTATATCAAGGACAGCAAGGGGCTGGGGTATGGACTCTGGGGCCATGGAGGAACTAAGGACACATTGCTGAACTCCAATGTATCTGGAGAATCAAGCTGCTGGATCCCACTAAAAACCGGGGCCTGAGTCATAGGTCTCCCAAATTCTACGAATTGGTATATGTTTGGATTCCTGTGGGGATCTGGGACTGAGATAGGTTAGAACCAAATTAAATTTTTCTGACTTACCAGTGTCACTATCACTGGCAGATGGGGTCAGGGGCTGCTGCACCAGCGCTCCCAGGAACTGCCCCTGTCCGAATTAATAAGCAAAAATAGGTGAATTCATTTGGCAGAATTATCACTGTCCACAGACAAGTCAGGATTACATCTCTCAACAGCCCTCAGGGCCCAGCAACCAAGTCCCTGCCTTGCCCCCACGTGGCCTCTGAGCCTCTGAGAATTGTCGTTTAGGGGGTGTCGTTCTCACCGATGCGCCACCAACATCAGGCTGCTGCTGGCGGCGTCTCTGCTCTTCCAGCAGCTTCTTCACCGTCTGTGATGGGCAGTGGCTGCGTTCGTTTCGGCTCACTGTGGAGAAGGGCGGATGTGTGTTATTTAAGGCCTTTAAAGTCACTCAAGTGCTCAGGGGGCAGTAAATCTGGGCGCCATCGCCGCCCTCCCGCGCGGAAAAACTGGCACATTTAAACAGCCTGAGAACGCCAAAGCCAACCGAAGACTCTGGGTGCGGTGCCCGCCTCCGCCGTTTCCTTCCCTTTGCTCCTCACTCTCCCTCCGACCCAACTTTCCACTAGCATCGTGGAAACGGAGAAAAGGGAGGGGAGGGCGCCCCTCGGTACTCCTCGTCATTTCCGTAAAAAAAATCCCACCTCTTAACTATCTCTCAGTTCCGAGACCTCGGGGCTCGCCTTGGCAAGCTCTCCCTGAAGAGTTAACATCCTGGTTCCCAACAGATCTTTTGTCCTAGAAGCTGAGCTTTCCCTGGAAAACCAGGCGTCCTAGTCTCCCTCTAGGGGTCCGGGTTCCCAGCCCCTTTCTCCTTCAGACCTCCCCATATCGTCCAGAAGCTCAGTATCTTCCTCTTTGTTGTTATGACTTTGCGATTCATAACGACCCTATGTACAACAGCTCTGAACTCTGCTCTATCCTGAGCCAAGCTCATTGTCTCTGACACACCTACACCACCACCCCCCTCAGTTACCCCAGTCACTGAATCAATTCATTTCATCGAGGGTCTTCCTCTCATGCACTGTCTGTCCCTCCACCAGCCCAAGCATGCCATCCCTCTCCAAGGATCGGCCCCTCCCTGCAACGTGTCCAAAGTATGTCAGACTTCAGAATCCTTGCCTCCAAGGAGCAGCCTGGTTTCACCCTCTCCAGGCCGAACCTGTTTGTTCTTCTCATGTTCTATTCAGCACTCTTCTCCAGGACCACGGCTCAAAGGCGTTAATTCTCAATCTATCATCCCTAGTCATTATGCAGCTTTCTCTTTCTCCATCTTCCTCTTTAGAACCCAGGAATTCCGGTCCTCAGCCCTCCCCTATTTAGGACCAAGGTCTGGTTTCCAAACCCTTCCATCGCTAAGGTCCACCTCTGCCTATCCAAGTCCATGCACTCAACATTCGACCCTCCCGAGCCGACGTTCCGGCGAAGGAAGGGTTAAACAGGGTAGGCGGGCTCGGGAACAGCAGGACGCAGACGCACTGACGTCACACCGCTCACGCAAAGGAACCTTCCGTCTGCGCGTTTCCCTTCAAGTCCCCAGGTGTCCGGGCTGGGGGTGGCGCGCGCAGCCAGGCGTGGCGCACACGGAATCCCCGCGTGTGGGGAATTCCTGCTCGGCCCTGGGGACCCTGGACTGTGACGACTCGGGAAGTCCCGGGGCGAGGTCGCCGGCGGTGTGGACCCCGCCGGCAGGCGCTTTCCCCCACAGAGATCAGCTACAGGTTTCAGGCTGCTTCTCCCACTAACTCCATAATCTAGTTCCTCGGTTAAAGACTAGAGTCTGATCTAACAGCCCCCTCCTGTCCAGGGCCCAGAATCGGGGCTCCCAGCACTTCCACCAACACCACTACGTCGACCTAGGATTACAGACCCTCATCACTCTCCCAAGAGAATCTCAGGACTTCTGCTGGAACTCCCCCGGAACCCAAGTACTCTGACCCTTTCAGGCTTCAAGCACTCTTACTCTTAGGACCCTGGACAAGCCAGTACTCTGGGGATCCAGCTCTGTACCGCAGATGCTAGCTTCAGATTTCCCCGCCTTCAGTCCTTTAAGGGGCACAGCGTGCCTCACCTTCCCTTCCATCGATTACCTCGGGGATTCCTTGACGTGGATTGCTGGGCCCCAGGGCCCCGGCCTCGGCGGTGCGCCAGCCTCGCTGTGAACCCGCGGAGCCGCCGCCGGGTCCCCGATCTGTAATCTGGGCCCCGCGAGTTTTTAAACTGGGATTCTGACCCCGCCCAGTCCTGGGCAGGGACCGCCCACAGACCTTTTTCTAGTCGCTCAGACTCTGAATGGGCGGGCCCAGCTGGAGGGGGTGCTACTTTAAGTTTAAAGGAGCTGGGGTTGCTAGAGCCTTCAGCCCTGGAGAAGGAAGGTACTGAGGCCTGGACTTCTAGGACTCTGTCAAAGTGGGTGCTGAAGGTCTTTCTCCTCCTTAAGTTTACCAATCATTGGTTTATCATACAATCATCATTCATATTATGATTATCAGGCAACTACTTACCATTCATAGACATTTGATTTATATCATTAATGACCAGTGAGTAATGCAATTAATTAAATTTATTAATTGCAATGTCTAATCAAACATTCTTCTAAATGGTCTGTCCATTTGCTATACAGAGGTAACTCGTGGTTGCTGTGATGATAAACACTGTGACACTGATGTGTCAAATTCCATAATAGTTACCCATGGTGGATAGTGTTTGGTGGAGCTCCCTGATTAAAACAAGCTTGCAGGAGTGGCATCCACTTCCTTCCAAAGTACCTTGTAAACTCTATGAACTTGGAGAAATTATGAAAGTTATACAAGTGTTCAAGTCTTTCGTTCATAGGGTCGCTATGAGTCGTCTACAACTCCACGGCACTTAACACAACACTTAACACAACAATCAACTAGTTATTATTTCCTTTCCCTTCACTCAGCTTATTTATTAATTTTTACCCCATCCCTCTTTCCATCTCCATTATCCCTTCCAGACTGATTCTACTGTGTGCAAATCTTTCCTTAGATTTTTTTAAAATTTTTTTTTATTTTTATTTTATTATTTTTGTGTGAGTGTACCGTCAAATCAGATCTGACTGGTACAGGAGGAGATTGTCCCTCCTTCCCCAGCAGAGCATCTGGTGGATTTGAACCGTGCTCCTCTGGGATGATTTTTTATAATAGTGGTTTTATACCATATTTTTTGGTAAGTGTCTTATGTCATTCAGCATAATTTGCTGTAGGTTTTTCCACTCTCTTTTTGCTGTATTCAGAAATTCTTGGTGGTTTTTCAGTGATGCATAATACTCCATTGTGTGAATGTTCCAGAGTATTTTAGCCATTTGTGCTTTGATGGACACTTGGGTTGTTTCAAACTGCTTTTGTAAATTATGCTGCAATAAACATGGGTGTGTGCATGTTAGTTTGTGTCACAGCACTTTATTCTTTCAGATATATGCCCAGTTGTGACTTTGCTAGAGCAAATTATATTTCTATGTCCAACTTTCTTTTTTTTTTTTTTAGACCACCAACATTGTTTTATTCAGGTACAATTACTTTCTCTTTTACAATAGGTATACTCTTTCTAAAGAAAGAAGCACCAAACTGCTTTCTGGGGGATGGCTGCACCATTTTGCATTCCCACCAGCAGCAGTGTATGCGAGTTGGTGTTGGAGGTCTAGAGTCACGGACCCTGGGTTGCGGGTGTTCTGGGAATTAAGAGATTGGGAGGGGGACCTTGACTCCTGTTCTCAAGGTAGGAAATGCCTCTAAGTAGGATCCATATTAAGTAAGAAGGAAAATCTTCATTGCTGTTGAGTTGATGCTGACTCCTGGCCTGTATTAGTATCATGCACTGTGTTAATATTCGTATGCAAGTCGTTTCGGCGACGCAGGGACCTTCAGGAACCACAGACAAGCTCACATTTTTTCCCTTTTCCCTATTTTACTTTCTCAGTTTTCAGAGGTTGAGTCTATTTATTACAACAGATGAGATACTACTGTTATTGTTAGGTGCTCTCAAGTCTAGTATGATTCATAGTGACTCTTTAAACAACAGACCTGCACTTTGTCCTATCCTGTGCTATCCTCACAATCTCTGACATACTCCAGCCCATGCGGTGTCACAGTGCAGTAATTCCTGCTGTCACCCTCCCCTGGTATACCTCCTATATCAGACTACACAGAGTTTATTATAAATTTCAGTCATAGAATCATATGTGGTCAATATAGTTGTAAATGGCTTAAAAATAATATTTTTAAGTTATAAGAACAAGCCTAAAAAGCCCACTGCTGTCCAGTCAGTTCCATCTGATAGCAAACTTCCATCAAATTGAAATTATAAATCTTAATGGGAGGAGACTGCCCATTTTTCTTCCACAGAGTATCTGGTGGATTTGAACAACAGGCCTTTCAGTTAGCAGCCCACCACACCATTGGAGCTTCTTGTTGATACTATTAACAATAACATTACTCCATAAAATTTTTCAACGTTGAATAACAACACTATTCATTATTTCATAGCTATGGAATTGGGTCAACACATAGCTGGTCTTCTATTGGGTTTCCAAAGTTGTAAATGGCACAGGAGAAGATTATTCTTCTTTCTCCCTCAGAGCCACAAGTGAATTCAGACTATCAGAGGGGCTCAGCCTTAGATTAGCAGTGCAACTCTGTATAGACAAAGCCGTCAGAGTTCCCTTACAACACTATTAGTTACCACATTATACTACTATTAATTATAACACATTATCAATAACTGATGGAAGAATTTTCTTACTTTCTGTTTAATTACTACTCCATTCTCAAAAAAATTAGAATAATATGAGAGGGACTGAAGAGCTTTATGTTGAGTGAACTAACTCAGTCCTACAAGGACAAATACTGTATAAAACCATTATTGTAAAATGAGTATGAGGATCCAATGAGGGAGAGGGTAGAAGGAGAAGGGTGAGGATGTGTGTGTGGGGATTAATCATGGGTTGTATAATTTGATGGATGGAGGATGAAGGAAATGGGAAGGATCTGATATGAAAAACAATGTATTTTACTTTTATAAATAAACTAGTATAAAAAAGAATATAAAATAGGTACATGAATGATTATATGAAACAATTTAAATGAAAGATTATATAAAACAATGTATGTGAATGAAATGTACTGTGAAGGTATTATTATATGAAAATCAGTTAAAAAATTTAGAATAATGTTTCACAGATACTAATTACCACATTGTTGTAGCTAAAACATCAGAAAAGTTTATTGAACAGTGACTATAAAAAAGCTGGCAGCCAGGGAAAAAACCAGCATGTGTCTGAAGTGCCTACTGGTTTGAAACCTCATTATAATTGGCTGATAATGAGAACTCAGCACAGTCCAAGGTTCCAGAGGTGAATGAACAGCGTTTTAGTATTGTAGGTGTATTGATACATGTTAAACTGGGTTTAGGTAAAATGTTATTTTGTTGTTGTAACTACCTACCAGAATTTTTAAAATAAAGAATAATGAAATGTATATAAATATATAAAGAATAATAAACCATCTATAGGATCACTGTGAGTTGGAGCTGAGTTCTCAGCACCTAATAACAAGGAATTTTTCCTGAATTAAAATCAAAGTCAAGGTCATTGATACTGAGTCTGCACTGATTCACAGCTGACCACCGGGCAGGATTTTGGAGGTTGTAAATCTTGGGAGAGGAGATTGCCCATCTATTTCTTGAAGAGTGACTGATGGATTTGAACCTCCGGAGAGGTGAAGCTATTTGGCTAGCAGTGAGGCTCTCTATAGACTCCTAGCAAAGCTCCCTTCAAGTTCAAAGTCATTACTGTTGAGTCAGAATCTACTAATAACTGACCCTCCAGCGGGTTTTCAGAGGCTGTAAATTGCACAGGAGGTTATTGCCCATCTTTCTCTTGAAACATCACACAAAAATTTTATAGACAGTCATTCTGGTATCCTGTCATTCAGTGTGGTCTGCAGCTCCCAGCCCCCTGTGTGATACAGCTGTGGACTAAATAGCAGGGAAGTTGGTTTTCAGTTCCCGTGTTGGTGACCACCATCAGCACCAGCAACGCTGGTCATAGTTCTCCTTGCCATTTTCAGCCCTCCTCCTGCACTTTCCTCCATCACTTCCTCCTCTTTCTCAATTTCCATTCTTGTCCCTCAGACTCTGCTGCCTCCTATTTTCCCAAAGGGAGAGGTCTCTTCAGTTTCTTCTCACTTCCTTAGTGATCTCATCAGTTCTACCACAGTAGACCACCAATCCCCAAATTTACATCTACCAGGTATTTCCAACTTGGGATGTCCAAACCTCAGAATTTCCACCCCTCCCAAACCCATGATCTTTTCTCTGTCACTAGATGCTCCATCTTTCCATTGTTCCGGTTAGAAATCTGAGTTATCATGAATCCCTGTTTTTCATACACATTGACACCCATTCCATCAGCAAAGTGTGCTGGCTCTAACTTAAAAATAAGGGAGCTCTGGTGGCTTAATGGTAAGGAGTAGTGCTGCTAACCCAAAGGTACACAGTTCTAATCCACCAGCTGCTCTGTGGGGGAAAGATGGGCACTGTCCTCTCCTACAATCTATAGTCCCTGAAAATCCACTGGAGGCTCAGCTAGGAGTCACTTCTGACTCAATGACACATGACAACAGCAACAACTTCAAAATAGTCCCAGAATTTCTCCAGCTTCCCCATCCTGGTCGACCAGTGGCCCTCCACTCACTTGGGCAATTATAACTGTTTCCCTAATCTCTTGGTCCCTCTCCCCATATTGTTACCCAAAAGCAGTCACAGAGACTCCAGTGCCTTCACACACACACACACACACACACACACACACACACACACTCACACAGGAAGCTTTGCTGCCTACAGGGTGATATCCGCTACTGCTTCCTCTTTGCTCCTCAACTGTTCCTCAGGACTTCTCTGGACCGAAGCCCTTTACTGGCTTCCAGCTCCAGCCGACGATGACCTCTCCAGGCCACATCCTAATCCTGCTTTTGCTCCCAGGTGAAGCCAGTAGTTCTTGGGAGAGGGGAGTACTGTCCACAGGCAGAGTGTGTGTGTGAGGAGTGACTGGACGGCTGATTGTTGAGGTGGGGCCCTTCTCCCTGAGTCCTTTCCCTTTCTAAAGCTCCACTGCAGCCTCAGTACTTTGGGTTGTTGTCAGGAGGGTTGTGCTTGTTGTTTGGTGCTGCTGAGTCAGTTCCTGCACCATCCGGCACCTTCCTCACAACCTCTGCTATGCTTAAACCCCCTGCTGACAGTCACTGTGTCTGTCTCATTGAGATCTTCCTCTCTTTCTCTAAGCCTCTATTTTTCCAAGCATGATATCCTTCTCCAGGGACTGGTCCCTCTTAATAACATGCCCAAAGCATTTGAGACAAAGTTTCACCATCCTTGTTTCAAAAGAACACCCCAGCTGCATTTTCTCCAAAACAGATTTGTCTTTTTGTTTTGTTCATAGTCTTTTTGGTGGTCCGTGCTGTCTATTAATCTCCCTATTCCATTACTGGTCTCTTCCTCTACTTTGAATCTCTGACTCTCTCGGAGATCCTTCTCCTTCTATGACCTCCATTTCCATTAGATCTCCCCAGAATGGAGGTTCTTTCTCCGGGCATCACTTTCCCCTACACTCTCTGGAAATCATCTCTCTCCCGCCTAACCTACATTCCCTCTCTTTCCAGCATTGGCTGTGGCTCAAACAACCCCAGGTAAGAAATCAATGCTCCCTCCTCTTTGCCCGGAAATGTCAGGCACCATCTTCAACATTTATGTGTGGCCTGGGGACCTTAAATCCTAAACTGCTCTCCAGTTCATCTCTTAGCTTCACCCTAAGATTCTGCAGCTGTCTCTAGGCATCTACTACATCCAACTGGAGCCCCATGAGATATGTGACTCCAGCCTCTCTCTGAGAGTACCTCCTAAGCCCTGAGCACAGCTCCCAATGTCCAAGTATACCCCACTACCACCTCTCTGGATCTCCAGCTTCCCTGCAATCCCAAAGTACAACCCAAGGGATTCTGGGATCCTCCCCCAGGTCCCCTCCAGGCTCCCCATGCTCTTTCCAATCCAAACCACAGCCCCAGAGGTCTGGAACCACCTCAGCTGTCCCCTTGTCTTTGCCCCCACCCTCCAGGTCTCTGTTCCGGATGTGGGCCTCTCTCCCTGCCGCTCCTGGCCGGCCTTGTGGCCGCTGACGCAGTCATGTCACTGCTCATTGTGGGGGTGGTGTTCATGTGTGCACGCCCACGACAGGAACCTAGGCAGGGTGAGGATGACGGTGGGGTGAGGTTCATGGAGGGGGGATCTCTAGGGAGGGGGGGCCCCAGAGAGGGGAACCCTGGGGAAGCCCTGGAGGAGGCGCTGGGGAAACCCTGGGGGAGGTGCCTGGGGAAACTCCTGAGGAAAGCTCTGAAGCAGGGAGTCCCCAGGGAGAGGTTGCCATGGTGGGGGGAGGGGGAGGAACTGGGTGGTCACCACGTAGAATTGGGGTTGGGAGACCACCATGCAGAGTGGAGGCTGGGAGGCAGCCATGTAGTGTCGGGGCTGGAAGGTTACCATATAGAGTGGGGGCTGGGAGGTCATCATGCAGAGTGGAGGCTTGGAGGCAGCCATGTAGAGTGGGGGCTGGGAGGTCACCATATAGAGAGGGGGCTGGAAGGTTGCCATGTGGAGTGGGGGCTGGGAGGTGAGACTTCATAACTTTCTCTCCTTGTGACCACCTTAACCCCATAGAAGATGGCAAGGTCTATATCAACATGCCTGGCAGAAATAGACCCAACCAGAACCAGGACTTCTGATGAACATCTGACCCTGTGATCAGATTATATGTGGTAGCACAAGACCCCTCGAAATTTGGGAATAAAGCCATTGAAACCACCTTTCATTTTAATTCTTCATCAAAGTATCCTAAAGTTTCCAAAGGCCCCCTTCTTTTTTAAAAGCTTTTTCTAGATTCCAAGCCCTCTTTAAATCAAAACAAACAAAAATCCATTACTTTTGACTTTCAGTTGATTTCAACTCTTGCCAGCCCTCCACATAAATCTCTATGAGAACAGACTTTCTCATCAATCTTCCCAAAGATGCTAATGGATTTGAACTACCAACCTGTCAGTTAACAGTTCAACCTGTAACATAGTTTGCCACCAGGGCTTCTTAAACCTCTTTAGGATCCCACAGGTCTCCATTCCCTCATCACAAGGATGTGATACAACTCAGATGTTTTTATGTTCCAAGTTTATTTAGAGGATGGTGGTGGGGAGAGGTCTGATATCTCAAGAGTGATACTCTGCTGATCTGAGTCTTGGTGGGGATAGAAATGGGGTGCTGAGTGAGTATCGGGAATGACTGGATCCAAGGCCCAGGTTGTCAGCTGCTGTGGTTTGGTCTTATCTGTAATACTGTCTCTGTGTATTGAGATCACTGTAGACATCGGACTTCTGACCCTGAAGCTCCTAAAGGGATAAGGACATAAAGTGGACAGGTTAAAGGCTATCAGAGGAAATGGTCCACTAAATAAACTTACAACAAACTCCAGCTTCTCCCAACAGCCTCTGTGGCCCTTGCTGGCTCATCAATCAATCCCTTGATTGCTGTGGAAGAAGTCTGCACTGTATTCAAGTGTATCCAATGAACTTCATCATTACACTCCAGTACATGCTCTTTCCCCCACATCAGGCCCTTGAGTGCCCCATGGATGGCCCTTCTTTCCCTTCAAGTTCAGTTTAATATCACTTCCTTAGAGAGGCATTCTTTGATTTCCCACCTATAATTTTCATCCTCAACACCCCAGTCCTGGCAGCATCAGCCTACTTCCTATGTGGTGCTCCTGTAATTATTTATTTCCCTCACATCTATTTGCCCTACTAAGGTCTACACTTTGCTGCTTGCTCCTCATGTCTAGCACAAAGTAGATATAGATATATATTTAAAAAACCCCAAGTGAATAAATGACAAACAATGACTAACATAATACTTCTTGCTACAATTTAGCTGTATTTGAAAAGCCCCCTCAGTATTTTGTACCTCCCAGAGTCTAACTCAAGATTCTCATGCTTTATAACTCTCATTGCTATCGAGTCAAAACTGACTCCCAGCTGACCACCTGCTAGGTTACGGAGGCTGTAAATCCCCCTGGAAGAGATTGCCCATCTTTCTCCCTAGGAGCCACCACGGTGGATTCGAACAGCCAGAGAAGCACAACCTTTGGGCAGCACAACTCGCTACAGATACCATTTGAGTTCTCTCTTGTACTTTATAACAAGAGGTGTTTTTGTTTGGGTTTTTTTTTAAATCTATATTCTTTTTTTGTCACTGCTATTCACAGTGACCATCTGGTTTCTGAGGCTGTAAATTTCCATAGGAGGAGAGAGACTGCCCTTCTTTCTCTTGAGGAGCCAATCATGAAATTGAACCACCAGAGAGATGTGGCCTCTGGGTTAGCTGCACACAACCTACTAGGGCCTATGCCACCAGAGCTCCGTTTATCTATGTCATTGCTGTGTTGTACCGTTGAGTCAGAACTGGATCATAGGTGACCTTCCAGAGGGTTTTCAGAGGCAGTAAGTTGAATGGGAAATTACCCCTCTTTCTCCAGCAGAGTAGCTGGTGGATTTGAAACACACGCCTTTGGGTTGGTAGTGCAACTCTTTGCCAGTAAGCCTCCAGAACTCCATTTTGTAACTGTAAGTGAGGCAAACAAGCAAGCTGGTAGCAAGCAGGCAAGTTAAACAGAATTCACAGAGAAGGATTCACAATTATGGCCCTGGACAGAGGTCTTGGACACATGAGGATGTGCATTTTTATGTAGAGAGGTCTATTTGACATCCATGATGCATGAACTCTCCTTCAAGCTTGTGAATAAGTGTCAACAGAGAGTTCTTGAGAAGTTTCTAGGACACTCCAACGTCCCTATTGTATGCAAGATTGTGTATGTCTTGCAGATTTTTATGAGCTATTGCTAGCTTTTGTCAGCTTCTCAAACGGTACAAGAACCACTAAAAAGTTCAAGAAACCTAGGTTTTAGGAAGCTCTGGCGGCCTAGTCGTAAAGAGTTGTGCTGCCAACTCAAAGGCAGGCTGTTGGAAGGGACCAGGTCCTCCCCAGAAGAAAGGTGAGTAATCTCTTCCTGTAGCTGACGCTCTGAAAACCTGCTGGAGGGTCAGCTATGAGTTGTTCTGACTCCAATCTTTAGAAGTAGTTCTCAGTACCTAGTGTTATTGTGGTGCTGGCTAAAAGGTCAGCAGTTCAAACCCATCTCCAGTCTTTCTGGAGGAAGATGGACAGTTGCCTCCTGTGTGATTGACAGCTTCAGAAATCCACCAGAGGATCAGCTATGAGTCAGTTCTGACTCCACGGCAATAATAATAATAATGATAATAATTTGAAAAAGACTGAACCCTTACAAAAGCTTCTCCCTAGATCAGCCTGTCCTAGAAATGCCTTTTCTCCAATAATTCAGAAGCTATCTTCCAAGTAAAGCTGACCTTGTCTTTGCAAAAGGAAATTCACTAAGTCGTTGCCATTCATTTTAAGATGATCACGAGGTCATTATATAGCATTTAAAACAAGTTAGGAACAAAAGCCCATGTTTTTCTTTGCCTTCAAGAGTCAGGGAGAGCTGCTGGGAGGGTCCCTTCGAGAAGCTGGGGGGGCTGTGTGAGGCATACATTCACAAAGCAGGAAGAGGTTTCCTCACCTGATAATGTGATTCGGTCTCTGCAATGCGCTGCTTTCCAGTCACTGAAGGGAGAAGGGGTTACAAAAGGGAGTGAGGTGCTGAATTGGGATAATTTTGATCCTGCAAAATCCACATCCCCACTAACTCTGTCACTGTGGTTGATTGTGACCTGGGTACTCATACTTTCCCAGCAGGCGTGTCCCCAGTGGCCCTGGCCATCTCCCACCAGCCCCACTCACTGTCCGAAGCCCCACGCTTCTGAGGGACCAGCCGGCCAAGAGAGTACACAGCAAGAGCGATGAGGAGGGTCAGCACCAGGTCCCCCAGCACAATTCCAGCCAGCACACCAGGGCCCACCGCAGGGCAGTTGCATTCTGAAGATGTGGCATAGGGGTTAGGGGAGGTCAGTGGGGTCTGAGAATTTGGGCAGAGGTAGAGGTGAGAATGGACATGGTGGGGAGTTGGATAGCCATCTGGGGAAAGTTTGGAGAGACTGGGAAGGGACAGAATTAGAGAAAGGGCTAGGGGGCAGGGAAGGTCTGAACTCCTACCGTTCTGGGCCTGGGCAGAGCTGAAACCTGAAGAGGGAAAAAGGAGGTAAATTGAAGTATGAGACTGTGATGGGATAGGAGGATGAAATCAGGATAGGGGGAGTGATTCCTGAAGAAAGGGTAGAAAGAATCTTCTGGAAGGAACTGGTGAGCTGTATAAAGGCCGTTGCATTGTGACCTCTATCATGACCTGTCCTGTTGCAACACCCTTAAATGTCCCCTGCCTGTACAACAAATTTGACAACTAATCTAGGAGTCTAAGTCTCCAAGAGATTCATATGCTTTGGGAAATCTGCTCATGTCCGAGCCCTCCGCTTTGGTTTCCTCTTTTTCACCCAGCTCCCCCTTCCCAGCCTCCAGCTGAGCCCGAGATCCAGGAGGCAGACACAGAAGGTGCCAACTCACCACCCATAGTCAGAAGAAAAGGCAGAAGCAAGAGTCTCTTGGAGGGCCCGGTGCCCCTCATGATGCAGGTGGCACTGCTGGACACCACAATCTAAGAGCCACTGGGATGTGGCTTAGCTTCAGATCAAGTGAAGGAGGAAGTGGCAGGAGGGAGGAGGGGACAATATGGGAGGAGGGCCAAAGAAAGATAACAAGAAAAAAAAAACGGGCCCAGACATCCCAAAAGATATGCTGCAGCCCTGAAAGCCTGGACATGATGGGCAAGGGTCATGTAACTCACACATCCATCATCAGCTCTTGGCCTCCCTTCCTGATTGGGCGTCAGACTTCATGGTACCAGGAGGGCTAGTGAATAGCCTCTTCATGGCTGGGAATGTTGAGCATTTCACTCAATCTCGCTAGTTCATTTTCCTCAACTGTAATAATATAGCATCTGCTTCATAAGTTTGTTGTGAAGATTAAATGGATTAATATTCCTAGAACAAAAGCCATCATGCTGCAAAAGAGAGGAAGACCCTCCACAGGATGTACTGATGCATAACTACAATGGTTTGAGCACTGTGGAGATTAAGGTGATGGTGTGGTGGGGAGCAAGGCTCAGATCTGCTGATCATTGGTACCTAACAACAATGTTTCCGGAATAAGCCCTGACATTTTAACTTATATTTATCATTCCAGACATTGTAAAGACACTTGCCCAAAGTTACTCAACAAATAAATGTGGACAGGGAACCTAAGTCTCACAGACAGATTTTTTTGCTCTTTGGCAGAAAAAGAAAATAAACTGAAAACCTTAGGAAGAAATAAGGGGAAGAGAAACCAAGAGCCAGGCAGAGAGAGAGGGAGAGATAGAGATGGGGGCACAGACACACATGGTGGAAGGCCAGTAGGGGACACTGTGGTCACCACTAGGCCCATTTGAGCTGTCCTGCTCAATAAGGAAGTGCTGGAAATAAGGATTAAGAGAGGCCACAAGAGGTAACAAGGACATGAAGCCCCAATGAGAGTCTCAGCTGAAACTAGGGAAGGAGGAACCTGAGGTTGGGGGGGATGGGCTAGCGACAGGAAGTTCCCCCCCTCACCATCCACTTGCCACATCCCATGGTTCCCTGGGCCAAGACTCAGGAAAGAAAAGGGGAAATTGCATGCTGGTCATGAGGCAGACACTGGGTGGGGGTGAGGATCGTAGTCTGGATAGTCAGGGCTCAGGCTGAGGCTGTCATTGCCTTAGCTGAGTCCTGTTCTAAAGAGCCCCAATCTGTCCTGTACTGTCTGTTGTGAGGGCTGAGTACTCAGGTCGTGCAGGCCCCACCAGGCCTGCCACAACTTTCAATGTGGCCTGAGAGCAAAGAGGAAGCAAGTCTCTGCTTCAGGAAGGGAGGGGGTCTCTGAACCAGGAGGGCTACCATGTGACCCAACTGTCCACAGCCTCCCTGGGCTGCTGAGGACCGAGGAAGCCAGATCACTGTAATATCCAGATTAGTATAAGGACTTTCCTTGGAGAGGGGATTCTGACGGAAAAGTGGAGGGCCAGCAAATAAGAGCAAGACCCCCAACCAGATATGTTGGCACGATGGCTGCAGCACTGGGCTCAAGTGTCAGAGATAAAGGATGGCATCAGATTGGACAGAGTTAAGGTCTGTTGTTCATCGAGTTGCAGTATAGCAACGAGTATACATTTCAATGGCACCTAACAACAACAACAACATGAAGACTTGGTGATGTAATGCACGTAGAATATTAGCACGATGCGGGATGCACTGTATGTGTTCAGTAAATCTTCATCATTGCCATTACTGTTAGAATTGTCTTAAGTCTTCAGTTCTAGGTTCACCTTGATAAAAATTCTCCCTTTACCCTATCAGTGTCAATCTCTTGAGCTGAACCTTCTAGCCCCAACTAGATCTGATTGAGAGATACTCTTAGCAGATTCCAAGCTGTCTGTCCCCTGAAGGTATTCAGACTAACAGTAGACCCAAGTGTATTAGGCCTGAAGCTTCTCTTTAATTGTAGAAACTGTGGAAAAGTCCAAGGAGCTTTAGAAAACAGATGAAAGTGATGTAGGCTTTTGCAGAATGTGGTAAAGAGACTCTTCACCAACCAAAAGAGAAGTATGTCAATATTTTAATAATTGGTCCTATTAGGCTGGTGTAGATGGTAGACCACAAGTCTTTCTGCTCTCTGATCCTTATTCTAAGATAACGTCCTGTATTGGATGATAGCAGAGGCTGCTTTCCAGGGTGCTTTTCTGGCTAGGTGATTCCCTCCAGTTCCTGTGGCACCCAGGCCCCAGGAGGAGTCAGGGCTGGGCCCCACATGTGAGATGTGTGAAGTGTCTCAATCTTTTCTGGTAGCAGCCCAAGAGTCAGGCAGCTGGAGAAGGCTAAGGCTGACTTTCCTAGAAACCACACCGTCTTCTGGAAGCTACAGCTCCTCCTTGTTCTCCCTGCTCCCAATTTTACCTTAATGAGGGTCCATCTTCCCCACAATAGCCAGTCGTAGCTTTTAAACCCAATATTTGAAAATGACCAAGAGATACAAATAGTCAGCAAGCATGTGAAAAGCGCTCAACATTGTTAGTCACTCGGGAAATGCAAAGCAAAACCACAGTGAAATACCACTACACACCCAAGAAGGTGACTAACATGAAAAGAACTGACCCTATCAAGTGTCAGCAGGGGCCTAACGCAACTGAGTTCTCATACACAGCAGGTGGAAATAGGAAATAGTGTAAATATTTTGGAAAAGAGTTTGGCAGTTCTACATAAAGGTAAGCATCCACCTACCCAGTGACCCAGGGACCTTGGGTGGTGTAGTGAGTAGAGAGTGGAACTGGCAACCCAAAGACATGTGACTTGAATCCACCATCTGCATAGAAAGAAGACAAACAATCTCCTCCTGTGTGATTCACAGCCTCTGAAAGCCTGCTGGAGGGTCAGCTATGGGTTAGTTCTGACTTGAGGGCAATGAGAATAAGAGTGACCCAGTCAGTAATCAAGGAATACCACTACTAAGTATTTACTCGAGAAAAAGAAAAAGATGTATTTCCATAAATATGTGTAAGGCCTGTAATACCTTTCTTCTCTGTAAAAACAAAACAAATGGTATGGAAATTGTGATGTCTCACCTCCTCTAACTTCATAAAGTGGAAGAAAGCAACAGACCAAGGCTGATTCCTATAGTCAGATATGTGCCCACCTTCCAATCTTTTTACCAATTGTGATATCAACCATCCCTTCCACAGCACTCTCAACTGGGTTTGATAATATGTTGCCATGGCCACAGATTACAATAAAAGACTAGGAACAATTCAGGATACAATTCTTCAATCAGAACAATTCCTGGGTTGTATACACAGAAATGCCTCTCTCTGTCCTTCAACCTTTCAGATCCTTGGCCACTCAAGCAAGTATTACAGCATTCTTTTCACTCCGCTGATTTAAGTGCCCAAATGTACTCTACTCTCCTAGCAAGTATCCTACCTGAAGACACTCAGGTGACTTGGCTGTCTCCTGGTTCTGTGGCCATCAATTCTCTGCCACCATTTCCCACTGTCTCTCTGGTGACATAGCACTCCATCTCCTGAGTGGAGTAGTTTCATCACAGAGGTCTTGGGTACAAAGGATGAGCTCTGCTCCTGGCTTTTGCTTCTTGTTGGTAGAAGAGATCCCTCTTTTCATCTCTGGAACAGCTCATTTTAAGTTGAATGGGATGGCAAAAGTGACCAATCCCTACCTACATTGGTATTTAATGTACCTTATTTGCAGGTTCCACCCTGTAAAGCCCACTATAAGTGGTACTCAACTTGACAGCACCTAAGAATAACAACAACCCCACAAGGGTTTCATGTATCATGTATACCTCATATTTGCATCCCATCTACCTGTGATACATCGAACAACTGGAAAATGAATAAGGATGAAAGAAGAAGAATCAATACCTTTGAGTTGTGGTGTTGGAGAAGAGTACTGAATATGGATTGCCAAAAGAATAAACAGATATGCTTCAGAAAAGATGCAACCAGGGTGTTTCTTGGAGGCAAAGATGGCAAAGTACATCTCACATACCTTGACCATTTTGTTGTTGTTGTTATGTGCCATAGAGTTGCCTGCGACTCATAACGACCTTATGTACAACAGCCCTGAATCCTGCTCTATCCTAAGCCAATCTTATTGTCTCTGACACACCTACCCTCATTATCCCAATCACAAAATCAACGCATCTCATCAATGGTCTTCCTTTCTTGCGCTGTCACTCAACCCTCCCAAGAATGAAATCCCTCTCCAACGACTGGTTCTGTCTTGAACATGTCCAAAGTATGTCAGATGAAGCTTCAGAATCCTTGCCTCCAAGGAGCAGCCTAGTTTCACCCTTTCTAGGACGAACCTGTTTGTTCTCCTTGCAGTTCATGGTATATTCAATATTCTTCTCCAACACCACAGCTCAAAACATCGATTCTCCTTTTATCATTCCTAGTCATTGTTCAGATTTCTGATGCATAACAAGTAATTGCAAAGACCATGGCCTGAATCAGGTGCACCTTAATCTCCAGACTGACATCATTGCTCTTTAGTACTTTGGAAAGGTCTCTGAAAGCAGACTTTCCCAAGGCAATTCTTCTTTTAATTTTCTGGCTCCTGGTACCAAGAGTGTTGATTGTGGAGCCAAGCAAATGAAAGCTGTTAACAATTTCAATCTCTCCATCATCTATTATGCTACCAATCAGCCCAGTCATGAGAATCTTTGTTTTCTTGATGTTGAGCTTCAATCCATATTGAAGGCTGCAGTCCTTAACCTTCTGCCACAAGTGCTTCTGGTCCTCCTCAGTTTCAGCAAGCAGGGTTGTTGTTATGATAGGCTATTTGTTGGAAAGGGATATCATGCTTGGAAAGGTCAGCAAAGGAGAGGAAGACCTTTAAACAGGAGGGGTTGATACAGTGACCACAGAAATGAACTCAAGTGTGCCAGAGATGATGAAGATAGCACAGATTGAACAGGGTTCAGATCTGTTGTCTGTAGGGTTATTATGAGTTGGACTCTACTTGATGACAGCTAACAACA